CCCAGGACCTGCTCCTCCTCCGGCAACTGTCAAGCTCAGTCCTACAAGTGTGGAGCAATCGCCCAAGGGGAGTGAGCTTCGAGCTTCGCCAGCTCCCTCCTCCCTTGTCCCAGAGGCCTGGGGACGGGCAAAGGGGCAAAGGGGCAGACGGCAGGGGCCAGCAAGAGGAAATCGGGCCAGGCGGCAAACATCACGCCTACAGGGGAGAGTCCACACCTCTCCTGCCCGGGCTGCCCCCAGCTTTTCTTCCAGAAAGATCCCTGCCAAGGCTTAGCCAAAGAGAAAAAAGTAAAAGTTAAAAAAAAAAAAAAAAAGGAAGAAAGAAAAGAAAAAGATACACGTTCTGTACACAACTAACAACAATGAAAAAGGGACAAAACCCCACACACTAAGGCTAAAATTACAATAAAAATGTTAACTTCAATTCCAACTTAAAAAAAAAAAATACAACAAATGCAGCAGTTGGTGGTGTGGCCCCTACCCCGACCCAGGGGCCAAAGCCGGGCTCGCTGGGGGCTGCCCTCCGCCCCGCCGGGAGTCAGGAGATTTGCACAGAACACTGCTCAGGCCACCACCAGGGGCCGGTTCTTCCCCCTTCCTTTCTCTTTCTTCTTGCGTTCTAGCTCTCTACCCAGGAAAGAAGAGGGAAGGGGAGAGGGTCGGAGTACAAAGGCCGCTGAGAAATCGCCAGGCTGACGGGGCTGGACAAAGCTCAAGCACGGGCCGCCAGGTGGCGGAGATGCAAAGGGAACAGGTAAAACGGAAGCAGATGGGACATGTGGTGCGCGGGCGCCCCTGGTCTTCTCGGGCCAGGGGAGGGGCTGGGGCCGGCTTCCTTCCGCTTCCTTGCCGCACCCCCTCCGCCCCGGGCCGTCCCCCCCCTCCCGAGAACCAAGGGGAAAAGCTGCAAGAGGCACGCTCTCCGTTCTGTCTTCTTTGTCCAAAGTCTCTGTGTAGCGCCCGTCGAGGGCCCCGGCGTGGCTGGGGTCGGGGGCTCACTGCCACCGGACGTGCTCGCTGCTCTTCCAGATCTGGGTTCTGCTCCCACCCGCGGCAATGATAAAATGTGCTTTCTTGAGATTATTTTAAAAACAGAAAGGGAGAGAGAATGAGTGGCGGCCAGTGGCTCCTGAGGGTGAAGTTTGAGCGCCGGGTGGGTGGGGTGGGTGGGCCCTGGCAGGTGGCGTTCCTGAAGCAGAGGGGGGGTCTGGCGAAGAATCCAGGAGCAGGGAGCTGCCTCTCACTGACCATCTGCCTTAGATTTCTTTGGAGCGGATTTCCTTGGAAGAAGAAAAGAAAGAGGAAAGACACTATCAGCAAGGGTCCCGGCAGTGCTGGGAAACCGCGGGAGGGACTCGAACCTCTGTGGTCGGGGCCTGGTAGGAGTTCATACCCAGTTAGCACTCTCCAATCCTTCTAGGGAAGAGAAGAGCCATACTATCGCCACTGCTCCTTCTTCCCAGTGGTTGAGCCCCCAGCCTTTCAACCCCCAGCCTTAGAAGGTTCCCGAAAGGGGCATTCTGCTTACATTTCCGGAGAGGACATGGGCCGCTTGCTGGCTGGCTTGGCGCCGGAGCTGTCTTTACTGGTTTCTGAAGGGAAAGACGGCACGGTAAGCAGCTCGGTGAGGCGGGCAGGCAGGACGGCTTCAGCCACATGGCAGCACACAGGCCGAGAGGGCAACCGTGGGGACAGCGTGGCCCCCGCCCGCAAGCTCCAGAGCCCGTCGGCCCGAGTCGGCAGCCGGCCACTCGGCCTGCGTGTGCCACCTCCCGCGGTCGCCCCCGGGCTCAGGCTCCGAGGCCCTCCCTGTCCTCCCGTCATCAGCCTCAGGGGAACTGGCACAAAACCTGACAGGGCATCCCGGGGCCTCCGCTCCCCCCCACCCCCCCGCCGCCTGGGCTCGGGCCTCACCCTGTGCCTCCTACTTCAAGTTCTCGCCGTCCCTATCTCGCCTCAAACAACCCTGGACTGCATTCCCCGAGCCCACAGAGGAGGCAAGGTGCCCCTCCCGCCGCCCTCCAACTCCTCCCTAGCACCCGAGGCCACCTCCCTTGAGTCTATAACAAAGCTCCAAAGTCCCGCTTGGGGCCAGGTCAGCCCACCCCACCCGAGGCTCGGCCAAGGAGCCTGACGGACGACACCCACCTTGCAGCCACCTGACTTGGGTGGCAGGGCCGTAGCCCTTCTCGTTGCGGGCGGCGATGCGGAAGATGATGGCGGGCTTGGTGGTGTAGTCAATGTGGGCGTTGGAGAGGCTGGACGACTGCACCAAGCAGGAGGGGCTGGGCCCGCAGTACACCCGCATGAAGGCCAGCTGGGCCGGGGCGGAGCTCTTGGGCTCGCCACCGGCCTGCGAGCTCTGGATGGCCAGGTACACCGAGTACTCGATGATCTTGCCGGACGTCACGGACGGCGGCTCCCAGGTGAGGTGAGCACCATCTGGACTCTAGAAGCAAGGGGGCAGAGGTCAAGCCATGCCTTCTTTGGCCTTTATACCTCGATCTCCGTCTGCCCGCCCAGGGACAGAGGAGCGAGAACGCGTCACAGCTTCCAGAACCCACTGCTCAGACTCCGCCCCTCTTCCTGACACAACGGACCCGTCTCACGGTAGACACAGCAAACGCGAGGAGCTGGGAGGACGTGGCCTCGCCTGCCCCAACCTGGAAGGCGGCCCGGCGTAACAACAAAATAAAACGAGCGGGGACTGAAGACACAGTCTTCATCCACCTGCTCTGCCACCTAACGTGTGACTTGGCACTTAGCCTCTCGGTGCCTCAGTTTCCTCATCAGGTCCCAGACCTCCGAACGAGCCACGGGGAACGCGGCACGTAACAGACCCACACCGAACACGAGCTGCCGTGTCAGGGAGCAGGAGGACGACGGGGAGCCGGAAGGAATCTGCCCCCGTCACTCCAGCAACCGGTGACAGCCAGGACCAGAAGCTGCACTCCATGACCGGCAGACAGTCCACGTCCTGGGGCCCCTGCTGAGTCACCCCCACGTGGCCCAGCACAGAAGGGAGCACCCCGTGTGTGGACTGAGGTTGGGCCCGCCCTGCCGCGGGCAGGCGGGGGGACGAGCTGGGGATAGGCCCGCCCCACGGCGAGACTCACTTTGCTGATTTTAATGGCACAGGGAGCCCCCGGGAAGCCGGGCAGACACGTCTTGAAAGCAGAGATCTCGCTGAAGGGCCCCCGGCCGCAGGCGTTGACCCCAGCGACACGGAACTTGTAGGCCGTGCCCGGCTGCAGCTCCTGTTTCTTCAGCTGGCTGTAGTCGGGGACGGCGCCCGAGTCATCCTGGCACAAGAGGCCGGGAGAGCAGGGAGAGAGAGAAGAGAGGCACGTAAACCCCGCTGCCGAGTCCGCAGTTCTGGGGTGGGGTTCTGGGGCCAGCAGAGCAGCGTCCTGTCCCGGGGAAGATGTGGACCCATGTGGGAGAGGGAGACGGGGAAAGGGCTGGCAGCGGCGGGAGGGGGCCGAGCCTGCGCTCCTCTGCTGCTTCGAGAGGCGCAGGAAAAGCGCGTGGAGAAGGCTCTACGCCTGGCTGTGCTCGGGGCCGGCCCCGAGACAGGCACCCCTGGGAAGCTTCCGAGGTTCCCACGAGCCTGGATACCTGCCTCACGGCCAGGATCCACCCCGCCAAGGGCATCGGCTCCCAGGAAAACTTACGTCGGACGGGACGGCATCGTCTGGTGGCAGGAAATAGTGTGTCACCATTACGTTGGTACCCTTAATGACGCCCACGTCGAACCACTGGTTCTCCTTCTTCACGGGGGCTTTGCTGGGCGGGGGCGGTAAGTCTGGCTTCTGGAAGAGGAGAAGGAGGACTCACACTCTCAGCCTCTGGGGTGCAAAGGCAACACCCCCCGAAGCTCCGTCGTACAAGACTCACCACGCCCAGGGACTCGATGCCATTGGCCACTTCGGTCAGGGTCGCCGCGGCCTGTAGTTTGGCAGGGCTGGCTACCACGACCGGCTGGGGGGCCACAAATGTGTTGGACGGAGCCAGGCCTGCGAGGAAAGAAGACGTCAGTGGGCACGGCCCCAGACACCCAGCTGCCACGGGTGGGGGGGGGGTGGGCTGCCCTCGGGCCACACCACACGCGTCGGCTGGCCGGCCCCGCTTACTCTCAGTGGCTGTGGAGGGCAGCAGGGCCACGGTGCTGGGGACGGCGGCGGCCAGTTCGTTGAGGCAGTTGCTCTCGATGGCCGGGTCGTTGAGGCTGTCAGCAGGCGCCAGGGCCTCGGTGGGCAGGTGGTGGTGCTGCTGGGCCTGTGCCTCCTGCAGCTGCTGCTGTTGCTGCACCAGAGCGGCCAGCTCCTGCTGCGTCAGCACGATGGGGATGGTGGTGGCCTGGCCCTCCTGGCCCTCGGCGGACAGGTGGCCCAGCTCGGCCTGCGTCACGGCCGCCGCCGCCTCAGACGTGTCCATGGGCTCCCCGGTGCCTGCTCCGGGGGGGCGGGAGGGGAGAGAGACGCTACTCAAGAGGAGCGCCGGCCAGGGCGATCTGTCGCCGGCCGCAGGCCTGCAGACCTTGTTTCCGGGCCCTCCCCAGCCCAAGGGACCCTGCCTAACTTTTTGGGTGCCGTGCCCGGCCCGGCCGAGCCGCCGCACTGGTCCCCCACCCCGCCGCCGTCACATCTGATTCAGGCCGCCTGCTGTGGACTGAGCCACTTCTCCTCAGGCCGCCCATCACTGCGGCCATCTGGCCAGAGCTGTCAGCAGGGAAGCTCCAGAACCCCGTGTCTTTGCTCCGCTCGAGGGCCCCATCTCCCCCTTGGGTCTCCCGTATGGCCTCGACAAAGACAGAGTGGCGAGCTGCCCCCCCACCCAGCACCTACCCATGACGGCCTGCTGCGCAGCCTGGAGCACCGCCTGGATGGCCAGGGCCTGGGCCTCCTCGGTGGCTGCAGCCTGGGCGGCTGCTTCAGCGGCAGCGGTGACCGCCAGCTCCTCGGGGGTGAGCCCCGTCACCATGAGGGTGGTGGTGCCTGCCTGGGCTTCGGCCATCAGCTCTTGAGGAAGCGACAGCTGGTCTACTTCAGACTGCGTAGGCGGGGGCGGCTGGACCACCACAGTGGCCACCACGGCGGAGCTGGCGGGCTCCTGGCCCGAAGACGGGTCCCCTGTACCGCTCAGATCCACGGCGGCTTGGAGCTCAGGGGTCTGGGAGGCTGACAGGACCTCGGCGGACTCCCCCATCAGGGGCGTGGAGGCGGGTTGCAGGAGCTGCCGTGGCGGAAGCTGCTGGCGGGGCCCTGGCGAGGCCTGGAGTTCCTCTGGGGGCTGCAGGATGTCAACAGCAGAGAAGGGCATGTCAGAAGTTTCTGTGTTGGCTATGGTCACTGTTATCGTGGCTGGGATGGGGACTTCGGTGGTCAGAGCCCCTGGGGTAGACTCAGTCACTGATGAGATCTTCTAGAAAGGGAGAGAAGCCCCCGTCAGCAGGGAGGAGGGAGCGGCCAGAAGCAGGCAGCCTTCATCCTTCCCTGTAGGCCTCGACTTTCATTCGCCGTGGGCCAGCAAAACCCCATTCAACGGGGAGGGGCAGCAGGTGACTGAGAGAGAGCGAATGCAGCATGAAGAGAGAGACCCTTGGGACCTGCTGGCTGATCTTCACCCATCCTCAGAGACGCTTCCCGGTCTAGCCAAAGGGGCACCCAGGTTCCCGCTGTGTCCCTCTTACAGGTTACTGCCAAATGACAAGCCACGGGAAACACGAAGGAAACAGAAGCGTCTGCAAGACGCTAGGCCTGGGTGCCCCAGGCGGCCTTTTTGTGGTCAGCAAGAGGGCCGAAGAACGGCAGCGTGCTCGGTGCAAGAGCGACACCTGGTGTCCAACTCGGGAATGGTACAGGCCACGGGTGCCGTGAGCAGCAGAGAGGAGGTACGAGGGGATCCTCCCGGGGCTCTTACCGGTACCGAGGGGCCCGGGACTGGGGTGGACTGTGTCACAGTGGTCACAGCCCTCGTCAGTGTGGAGGACACGGTTGTCGTAACGGCACTGGAGCTGGTGATGTTCACGCTGTCGCCCTGGGTGCTCTCCACGTCTCCCTGGTCACTGGCGGCTGGTGGGGGATCTGCAGAGGGGTGCAAGCAGAGAGAAGGGTGACAAGCACTAGGCCAGTAGGGGCCTGTGGGGGTGGGGAGGCAGGGCAGCAGGAGCCCGAGAGCCTCTACCTGGCTTTGCCCCCAGGGGACGCTGTCACCTGGAGAACTCTACCCTCTGCTGGGAAACCGAGCCCCAAGAAATCCAAGTACCGGCCTGTGGCTAAGGGGACCTCTCGGTTTCCACCTCCCTCAGCCCCTGAGCCCCGGGCTCGGGGAGACGACTAACGCCGGGCTGGCGGCCTTCGCTCACCTTGGTTTGAGCTCATGTTCGAGGTGACGGTGGTGGCCGTGTGTGTGGTGCCCGTCTCGTGCGTCTCACAAGGGGGGTTGGAGCACACCCTCTGCGTCGGGAAAGGAGCCAGCAACGAAGCAGCAGCCTGGGGGGTGATGGAGGGAGGCGCCGCCACCTCCAAGCCGGACTCCACGGGGAGCAAGGCGCCCACGCCGACCGACATGGTGGTACCGGTGGACGTGGTCTGGTGTGTCTCGCAGGGGCGGCCGGCGGGGGGCTGCTGCCCGCCCTCAGGCTGGCCCGCACCCCCGTTGGACGTGGCCGTGGTGGGCGTGTGGGTGGTGCCCGTCTCGTGGGTCTCGCAGGGCGGGTTGGAGCAGACCCGCTGGGCGCTGCCGGCATTCGAGGTAGTGGTGGTGTGGGTGGTGCCCGTGTCATGGGTCTCACACGGCGGGTCGGAGCAGACTTGGCTCGCAGTGGCCGAAGGGCACAGCAGCGCCTCCAGGGCCGTCACAGTCACGGCGCCACTGGCCGAGCTCTCGTACGCGGGTGTGGGGGTCCCCCGTGCCTCGCCGGGCTCTCCGGCACCCATGGCGGAGCGGACCGTGGTGGGGGTGTTGGTCGTGTGGGTGTGATGAGCCTCCGGCTGGCGCCCCATGGACGCCAGCTGACTCAAGCCGGCCACGGGGCCGCTGGGTCTGACCTGGCCACTCACGGCGGCCAGCTGCACGAAGGTGGCGCCGCGGCCGCCGGCCTCCACCGCCAGGGCCGGCCCAAGGAGCGGGCCGGCCGAGCATGGGGCCCCGGTGGCCAGCACAGTCACGGCGGTACCGGTCACGCCGGTCTGGTGGGTTTGGCACGAGGCCTTGACGGAGCCCTGGGCTCCCTCTGACACCCCGGCGGCCATGCCGACCCGGACCACGGCAGGAGCGGTGCCGGCCACGCAGGCACGGCGGAGGTCTCGCTGCTGGCCGGCGCCGATGCTCGACACGGCGGTGGTGGCGGTGCTGGTGGTGCCGGTCTCGTGGGTCTCACACGGCGGGTTGGAGCAGCCATGCTGCCCAGCCATGTTGGACGTGGCGGTGGTGGCCGTGTGGGTGGTGCCCGTCTCGTGGGTCTCGCACGGCGGGTTGGAGCAGACGCGAACCACGCTGCCGTTCTGCTGCCCCACCGTCGAGGCCACGAGAGAAGCGGCCGCCTCCTGTCTATCACAGACGAACTGCACTTGGGTGGGCTGCGGCTGCCCCCCGAGGTTAGCCACGACGGTGGTGGTGGCTGTGTTGGTGGTGCCCGTCTCGTGGGTCTCGCAGGGCGGGTTGGAGCAGACCAGCGTCACGGTGCCCGGCTGCACCTCACCCTGGCCTGAATCGGCGATGGTGACCGTGGCCGTGGGCTGTTCTGTGGTGGGCGAGGCCAGAATGGACACGGGGAGGTCATGCACGGGCTGGGCCTCGACTCCACTGGGCGCCGTGATGAGCGTCACCTGGGTAGGCTGGGAGACAGGCTGCGGGAGACGCCAGATGGGAAGTCAGCTCGGGAACTTCCCGTCTGCCCGTCCCTCCCACCATCCTGTAGCGCCACCCGTGCTGCCGGGACCACGTCGGCTCCTAAAGGGACAGCCTCCTTGGTCAATCCAGAACCCGCTTGCCCTCTGACCCCCAGACGCTGGCTCGCTCAGGGACCGGGGAAGAGACACGGTCCCCACCTCAAAGGCCACAGGCACTGGGGAGCGGCTGTGGGGTCAGGGAGGGAACCCCGCTAACCCAGCACCACACAAAGGCCAGCAACAGAGGCTTTGACGCTTCTACGGACTCAGCTGAAGACGGACGAAGGGAAGAAAAGTGCCATGTGCACGTGAAGGGGATCTGTCGCGTGCTCTAGATCGCGAGTCGAACAGCCCAGTGTTCAACCACTGGAAAGGCCTCGCGTCTGAGATCTCAATACGACGGACGGTTAGACAGTGACTGAGAATCACGTGGCGCGACAGGGACGCGGGCCCCGGGTACGACGCGGGGGAGGAAAAGAGGATGTGGCGCAGGGCCCCAAGACAAAGCCCAGAAGCCTTGAGCTGGGGCTCAGACGTGCCCGCCTGGGGTCACAGACGTGTGCCCCCCCCCACGCCCCTCAGCGCCGTGCTCTCCGGCCGCCCTACCTGCATGGTGATGGTGGGGGTGGTGAGCCCGCCGGCCGCCGTCAGCGTGGTCTGCGCAGCCGACACGGTGATGGCGGTGGGGTTGATCACTTGGCTTGAGAGGGTGGCGATGGTGCCCAACGTGGTGATGGGCGTGGCCAGGGAGGCGCTGGTACTGTGGCCCCCAGCTCCGGCAAGGCTGGTGGAGACGGTGCCTGTCACTGTGCCCAGGGTCGTGACGCCTAAGGGCAGGAAGGGGGCGGTAAGGCCGGTGGCCGCGCCTCCTCCCTTCCGGCAGCTCTCCTCCGGCACACCCCAAGGGAAGGGGGGGGCTGGGAGAGGGCACCGGCGCCCCCCCACCAGCCCTCCTGTGGGGAAGCGGGCCCAGCCTACAGGCTACACACCTGTGGTGCCCTTCACAACCAACGTGGTGACTGCTGGCTTGACGGCAGAGACGGTGACGGGGGTGACCAGGCGGACACCCCCCATGGGCACGGTGCGGAGGATGGTGCCCGGCTGTCCGGGGGCCCCCTTTAGCACCACCTGGAATGCCAGAGGAAATCGCCCCTGCGTCACTCTCAGCTTGCCTAGAGCCTGGGCTGCCCCCCTCCCAGGCCCCTCAGGACACGTGTGGCCTGCTGGGGTCCTGGCCTGGACACCGGGGTGAGGGGAGGGCCCGGCACGCCTCACCTGGGTCACTCCTTGCTGCCCGTGGCCAGTGGCGATTTTAGGGACAGCTGTGATGATTTTGGCAGGCGCTCCAGTTCCTGAAGTCATCACCTTGGTGGTGATAATGGTGATGGGGGACTTGATGCCCGGACTGCTGGTCACACCTGGACGGGAGAAGGGCGGCTTGGCCTCTGGAGCTCCTCTTCTCCGGCGCCCATTCCCCACTTCCCTCGGGCCCTCTTCCAAGCAGTCCCTCCCACTGCCCCTCACTGCAAACAGAGTGCCAGGTACAGCCGCAGCCCCGCCACCTCCCTATGAACGTGCGACAAGAGGCAAGGAGAGAGAGGAGAGAGAAAAAGCAGAACAAAAGCAAAAGCACGCCGCAGCCCAGCCCCCGTCCGCCCGTCTGGCGTCCGCCTCCTGGAGCGGCCCCTCGCCAGCGCACCGTGGAGGCCCCTACCTGTGGCGCCGGCCTGCGTGATGATGGCCGACATGGGGATGGTCTTGATGATGGTGGTCGTGCCCGGCTTGGTGGTGCTCGGGGACACGCTGCTGATGCCCAGGATGGTGGGCTTAGTCCCGGCCCCGCTGGCCTGCGTGGTAGTGATGATGGTGGTGGGCTTGCCGTCCGCGGAGGTTACCAGCTTCAGGATGGTCCCGGCCGGCAGGGGCCCTTTGGTCTGCGACAGAAAAACACGTGGAAGCCTACTCAACAACAACAACGTCGACGACGACGACGACGACAACGTCTAGATGCAAAGAGCGGCTCAGCCGACTAAGGGTCCGACTCTTGATCTCAGCTCAGGTCTTGACCTCAGGGTTGGGCGTTCAAGCCCAGCGCTGGGCTCTGTGCTCGTGTGCTGGGCACAAAGCTTACTTAAATTTCAGAAAAAAAGGCCAAACAAAAAGTACGTCTCGAAAAGGAAAACAGCCGGAGGAGAACAAGGTGAACGGACACCACCGACTACCACGATGCAAACTGTGGCAGAAAGTCTGCTCCGGCTACTCTCCACCGGTGGCCCGAGCGGCTTAGGGGATGTTCTGAAGACTGAGAGCGACCGCACCAAGCAGCAGGACTTTCTGCACCACACGTGCTCGAGGGATCTTCTCCAGGAGGGGACACAACTCCTTCCTGTGGCCCGGAGCCCCCTCGTGAGTGTCAGAGTCTGGGTCCCACAAGCTCACCTGGATGATCTGAGTCACCGGGCCCGTAGATGCCTGGCCTGTGACCGCTGAAGTCTGAACCGGTTTGGTCTGAACCACTGACATCACCTTGCCCAGGTTGGAAATCTGAAACAAAGGACGGAGCAAGGAGTGATCCGGAAACCAATTACGAGCACGGCTCGGGTCCGGCCTCTCCTGACCCGGGCCCAGGCCCGGGGTAGCGCCACAGGCCGGTCGCGGCCCCATGCAGCAGGGTGGCACCCGTCACTCACCAGAGCACTGCCTCCTGGGACAGAGATGGGGCTCTTCACCAGGGTGATGGTCTTGGTGACTCCACCCACCACCGTGGTCACCACCTGGGCTTGCTGGGCCACTGTCACAGTTCCCGACTTATGCACCGTGATGATGGGGCGGGTGGATGTGTTGGCAGCAGAGGAGACAGACGTCCCCACCTGGGCGGCCGCAGTCTTCAGCATCCGAGTGGCCGGGTTGCTCACCTTGAAGGGGTGGCGATGAGCCGTGAGTGGGGCAGGGCGGAGAGGCCCAGCTTCCGCCCAGAGGGGCCCGAAGCAGCTTGCCGGGCTTTGCCTTTCCCGCACCGACAGAGAGCGCGGCCAGCCTCAGGCTGCCACGTCCCGAAAAGTACCCACTCATTCCAGAGCCCGTGGCAAGCGGCAATTACGGGCCGGTGGCCCCACGGGGGCAGGTCCAAAGCCCGGAGGGAGTGACTGCTGTCTTAACACGGCGCTCAGAAGCCCCCGGCCCCGAGGCTGCCCTGGCTCAGAACCCGGCACAAGGAATGCTCACCATGACCGGCGAGGAGGCCACCTTTACAGTAGCCGGGAGGGTGGTGGTGCCTGGCGTCACAGCCACGGTTTTGACGATGGTCGTGCCTGCCGGGACACTCAGCACCGTGGGCGCTGACGAGGGCGGGATCTTCTGGGTGGCAGCAGCTGCAGCTGCCAGTGCGGCCATGCCGCTCATCTGCGGGCTGCTGCCAATCACCTGCGGTGGGCACAGGGGGCGTGAGCCCACACCCGGCACCAGGACCGAGGCTGCCTCGCCCCCTGCTCCAGACGCTTCAGCAGAACCCATCGAGAGGCCCGGCCCTGCCCGGAGAGCCTCCGTCCCGCCCGGCGTCCCTCCCAGCAGCACCTGTCAGCCCCACCTTGGCCCCTGCTGCTGACCGGGTGCAGTGGCCCAGCAACAGGATTTTGCCAGAAGCTCTAGATACTTTCTAAAGACCACAGAATTAGACACAGCTCTCTCCTCCTGGCCCTGGGTCAAACCCCAGGTGCCTAGGTCCTCCCTGCAGGCTTCCAAACAAGGAAGTTCACGTTTAAGATGCCCTTGTCTGAATCAGATTCAGACAGCGGGGAAGTCCTTCCGAGGCATCAACTTATTAACTCGTATTAACTGACTGAGGACAATTTGCCTCACCGGTACATTCCTGGCCCAGAAAAGCCCAGGCTGAACGGCACTAAGGCTGGGTGCCACCAACCACCAGGAAATCCCACCCCACCCACCAGCTCCTCACCGTGCCCTGGGCACTCTGCGTCGGCACAACCATTCGCACGCCTGCAGGAAGGGAGGTCACGGTGACGGGGGCTTTCCCAGCCTGGCTGGCAGGTCGCATGGTGACCAGCGGGGTTCCTGTCGTGGCCTGAGGACCGGTGACTTTGAGAACAGCGGGGACGCCTGGCGAGGGAAGGAGGTGGCCATCAGCAGAGGCCCGGGCCTCCGTCGCACCCGGTGCGAACGCGAACTGCTTCTGGGACCTGCTGGCGCTTCACATCTGGTCCTTCCAGACACCCTCAGCCACTGTCCCCGCAAGCGGGTCCGAGCTTTCTCCCGGCCCCAGCGCTCGGCCACAAGCCAGTGCTGCCGACGGCCAGGTGTGCTATCTTCAGCGGCCCTCTCGGGCACACGGCCTCCCAGAGAGTAGCCCCTACCCTCTGAAGTGCGAGGCCCCGCTCACCTTGAGTCCTGGCCGCCGTGGGCACGGAGATTGAGCTGCCGGGTACCGTCGGCAAGACCTGGATGGCGGTGGTGGTCGGGGGCGCGGCAGCAGCCTGGGGCAGGAGCGTGATGCCTACCTGGGTCAGCGGCTGCACGGCAGGTGCGGCTGCTGCCGGGGCGGGGCTCTTGGGAGGGTTGGCGGGCACAGACGGGACCGGATTGGGCGTGGGGGAGGCGGCAGTAGCGGCCGTGGCGGGAATGTCATATTTCTGGAGCTGCAGAAGGTAACTGTCGGCTGTCGCCACGGCCCCCCAGCTCACCTCCAGGGAATTGGTGTTGGCTCGTACCAGCTGTACCCGGGCCGGGGGTGGTGGCTTTTCTGCAAGAGGGCACGGCCGGTGAGAAGGGGTCGCGCCGGGAGGCCCCGCGCTGTGGCTCCGCTGCGCTGCAGCAGGCCCGCAGGCCCCCGTGCAGCTGCCTCACCTGTCTCCAGGTACCACAGGTCCTTGCAGCAGACCTGGTTGTTCCAGGCCTTTCGGTAGCCGTCGCGCCCACTCCAAATGTACAGGCGGGTGTTGATGGCTACGGCACAGTGGCCGGCTCGGGCCCGGGGAATATTGTCCTCCAGCGTGTCCATCAGGATGGTCTCCCAGGCCATGGTATCTGGGGACGGTGGGGTTGGAGGTCAGTGAGGACGGCAAGCGAACCCACAACCCCCAGTGGCCCTCTGGCCTTTCGCTGTCAGGGATGGGGAATCCAAACCAGGAAGTCATTAAAGAGTACTAAATTAAAAACAAACAAACGAACGAACGAAAGATAACTCGGTACGGCAAAAAGACCGTAAAAGATGTAATTATAAACCACAAACTGGGGAAACTATTTGAAACGCACAGCCAGAGGTCTCACTTCTCGCACATCAAACAACACAAGAGCCTATGTAGAAAAGAGACGGGCAAAGAGGAACGCAAGTTACGGAAAAGGCGACAGGAGGATCTGGGGAAAATACATACCCTCGCTCAAAATAAGCGAAATGCAAACTTAAACCATAAGGTGCCTGGCAATTTGATTCCCGTGCCTGTGGTAGCCGGGGTTCAAGGTGAGCCAGGGGTGCTGGGGGGCCGGCCCGTGGGGAGAGTCAATCACCTATTGAACTTGGCGAAGAGCTGTTTGACGGTCGCCACGCCGGCACTGCCGGGGGCATTTACGCGGGCACAGCCTCTGTGCAGGATGGCTTGGCGACATCCTTCGACAGTGATCCTACCTCTAGGCTTTTACCCTTCAAATACACTTGCACGGAGGTGAGGACAGTGCAAGGATACTCACGGAGTAGCGTCTGTGCAAGTTTCAACACCTCGATAGCAATTCAAAAGAATGAGGCCGCTCGCCGTGCGGGGATGGGACGGGACGGTCTCCGAGACAGAGTAAAGCGAAAAGCCAGGCGTGGCGCGGCGCCGAGAGCAGGCTGCCGTCGTGTTTGTTTATAAAGGAACCTACAGACGACGCTTGGACATGTAGAAAAGTCCCTGCAGTGGGAGGAGAAGCCACCAGCGCGGCTGCCTCTGCAGGATAGGAGGCGGGAGGGAGGCTGCGCACGGTTAAGCGTCCGTGCTTTCGACGGCGGGCCACGTGTAGGAAAAGAGCCTACTCAAAAATGAAAGCAGGGAGCGCCCTCAGAGTGCTCGCACCAGTGGCTGCCTCTCGTGGACTCGAGGGGCACGGGCCTTAGAAGCACACCCCACACAGCTCTCGGGACCGAGGAGGGCCAGCCTCCCGCAGCCCTCCGCAGGCTACTCCGAGCCCGAGGAGGCCATACCCAGGTTGAGACAAGCCAGTGTGTTGGTACACTTCCACTCCTTCTCGTGTGTGGCCACTTTGACGTCATCCATGACGAGAGGCACCCAGCCACCAAACACGTACATTCTGGGACGAAGGAGGGAAGAGTAGGAGAGGGTTGTAGAGGAGGTGCCGAGCTAGAGGCCACCTCTTCCATCCAGAAAGTTCTAAACACGCTTGGTCCTCCAGCTCTCCCCGGGAGAGGCCCCCAGGGCGCATGAAAGCTCTCGATGCCACCCTGTCCTTCTTGGTGGCTCAGCCCTCACAAGACCTGCGTCACCTCCACCACGTGGAGCCGTTACTCGAGCTCATCTAAAGCTCACCTCAGTCCCCATCATTCTCATATTCGCTTTGGGACCGTGGCATTGACAAAGACACCCGGCTGCTCGTGGAGAGTATCTAGGACAGTCTGCGCCCCTCTACCCCGAGTCTGTCTCGGTCTCCCAGGGCCGTAATGTAAAGACAGGGCTGCGGAAGGCCAGCCTAGCCGGAAAGGGGCCTCGGCAGGCCTTAGGAATTGCAGGAACAAAACCGAGAGCCCCGTGGGGGTGGGGCGGGCCGGGAAGACAAGAGCCGTGGCTGCTACTCACTTGTTTCCTATGGTCGTGGCTGAGTGAAGACTCCGGGGAAGAGGCGCCACCCCGCTGAGACTGGGCTTGTTCCACGTCAGAGTCTCTGTGCAGAGCAAGGGAGGGAGGAGGGTCACCTACGCCATGCCAGACACGGGCCCTCCGACCCAGAGGACGCTGCCCAGAAGCAGGGAAGGCTCTGGAAGGTGGGTGCCTGCGTGCAGTGTAAGAATTCCGGGCCTGCGCTCCCTCCAGCCCACGACAGGCCCTCTGGCCGGCAGATGCCAGCATTTCCCAAGCCGCGTTCACCATCCTGGCGGCTGCGCCCCTCCCATGCTTCCTGAGCACCTGCTAGGAGGCAGCTGCGTCCCTCGGGGCTGGGGCGCGTCCCCCACAGGCCCTGCACTCCACGCCCCACCCTCCGCTAGCGCACCGGCCCCCACCCCACCGGCCACCGGCCAGGCGCCAGGAATCTCACTCGCAATCAACGGTTTCCTCTGAGTGCCGGTGCTGACCTACCGGACAGGTGCCGCCGGCCAGCTTCTCCCTCAGCCTGCCTTCAGGTCGAACACCCAAGCTGCTTCCTACCACTCCTCACACCCACCCTGCTTACCCGCCCAAGGAGCCCCTCGAGGTCTTATGGTCTCTCAACATCCCACCTGACCGTGACACACCAGGGCATGCCACTCCTGTTAGAGTCTACCACGGACGAACGCTACCTCGTCTAGATAATTCCATCCTAGGAAGATCTTCGCTTCTCTCCCCTTATCCTCCTGTAGGACGGCAGACCAACTCAGCCAACCGAGCCTCGCTCTTTCTTAAGAGCAGTGCCACAAGCTCGGGGCAAAGGTGACTGACGCACACGGCGGCCCCCCGCCCCCTGGCCAAGAGGATGAGGGGCAGAGCAGCACACTCGCTCCCTGGGCCGTCAGCCCCGTCTCACCACCCTACGCCGGTGGCCCAGCCCAGTCTGCTAACTTTGCTCCGAGGCTCCCGGAACAGCCGTAGCCATGTCTTACCGATATCCAAGGTCCAAAGGTCCCCCAGCCTGCAGCCGCTCATCCCTCCATAGATCACCAGCTTGGACTTCTTGTTGTCTTTCTCAGTATAGACCACAGCAGTGTGGGACTCCCGGGGTGGAGGCAGAACGCCGTAAGTGATGGGGATGTCCCAGGCCACCACTCCGGAGCCCGGCCGCAATTCCAGGATGTATAAGTCATTCAGGTACCTGGAGAAGAAAGGTCAGTTCTGGCAAGCGCTGACTCCACGCACCAGAGGCCTCGGCAGCTTCTAGGGGTGAACAGCAGACTCCCTGGGAGACAGAGGGGGCCAAATCTACGTTGAACTCCAAGTTCCTCTACCCTCAGGCCGGAGGAGGGGCTGCCAGAAGCTCCCAAGGATAAGTGTGAGTCCGAGGAGAGCGGCAGGCTGCCTCGCACACAAAGCCGGGCACTGTACGTGGGCCCCCGGGGGAAGAGGGGTGCTGGCTTGGGACTACCTTCAGACTTCACGAAGGCACTCAGCCACCAGCCTTGGAAAATACCACCACTAAGTCTGCAGGTAGCAAGGGCTAGGAAGGAGAGCGCCAGCCCCAAGGTGGCCCGAGGAGCAGAGACCGGCCCAAGGCAAGGTGGGTTGCTGACCCCCCGGGCCCAGCCCTCCTGCCATGCCACCTCCTCCTGGTTAGAGACCTCGGAGCCAGAAACTCCTTCAAGGGCATCTAGCGTCACCCTCTCACATCCCAGAAGGAAGGAACCCGGCACGGTGCCATGGGCTGGCATGTGGCGAAGCACACCCACCCTCATGGGCTTGCACACGGAGAGGGCGAGGCCTCACCTCGGAATGTTGTTCTTGGGGTCCTCGCTATCGTTGGCCAGACCCCCAAACAGGTAGCACTTGTTGCCCACGAGGGAGAAGCTGTGCCCGAGCCGAGGACACGGAGGGGGTCCATTTTTGGGCGTCTTTGCTTTGAGTCTCTTCCATTCCCACCGGCTTGCCTGCAAAATCAAGACTCAGGGATTTAATCAGGAACGAGCTGGCCACCATCGGGGCCTGGGCCATTTGTTGTGGAGGGAGGACCTGGTAGGGGTGAGGGAGGCACGGGACCTGGGAGGCCTCCTGGGCAGCCTCCCCACCGCCACCCCCACACGGGGAGCACGCTGGGGGCCGTTACCTGGAGCTCGTAGAGGTCATTGCTGTATTTCCCATACTCCACCATCCCACCAAACACCAGCAGGCGAGTGCCGTCACACACGAAGCCATACGCGGCACACCCAGGGGGGATGTCCCCTCTCACGGCTGGGATGAACCACTGGTTAGTCGCTGGGGGAACAAAAGGAAGCGGAAGAAGTCAGAATACCTTGGGGATCCTAAGAACCAGAGCCCCCACTCCTCCCACTCCCCAAATCCAGCAGCCCACGAAACGTGGCCTGACAAAGGAGGAGCCAAGACAGCGCCTCCTTGTCCCAGGGTGTGGGGCCTTCTCATTTCAGTATCCAGTCCCAGCACCCCATCCGAGCCATCTTTTAAGTCCCTTGCCTCAGAAGCCACCTTGCGACAGCCTGCAACCACCTGGCTTCTCATCAAGGTCGTCTTAATAAGCGGGAAGTCACTAATTCATTAGCTTCTGGGAACGTGGGCCCTGACTTCCTTCCCCAACTGCTCAGTGGATCATTGGAAAGAAAGGTCTAACACCCAAGATACCCTCTCGGTGGCCCCATGCACCTCTTCCTGGGGGCACGGGGGCCACACCTCCAAGTGGTTCACAGAGTGACCGTGACCAGCCAGTGCCCTCCCTCCCTGCAGGTGCCAGTGGCAGGAGGCGAGCAGGTGAGGGTGGCCAATCAAGGAAGTCCAGTCCGCTGGCTGAGGAGAGCCAGGGAGGGGGGCAAGACTCCATCTCGGCTGGCGTTTCCTAGGTGATGTTCCACACCACCCCTCCCCTCATGCCACACCCACACCAATCTAGAACATTCTTGAAATCCAGAAGCGGTGGCAGTAGCATCAGCTTCTGAGGCAGCCTCCACAGCCTCTGCTGGCTGCAGAAGCGTCCCCCGAATCCATCCCCTGTAACCGGGGCTGGGGTGGGGAGACCACCAGAACCATCCAGCACCCCGCTCCTCCCCTCACTTAAGGCTTGTGTCCTATGTTCAGCTCCCCAGACACTTGCCAAGCCAGGGCCTCCCAGAAGAGTCACGGGGCACACATCCTCCTCTTTTCGAGGGGTCCTTCTCATTACACATTATTTAAAGGACTCTCCCTAAACGGCACGCCATACTCTCTCCAAAAACCTCAAACCGGGCGCCAGATGCAAATCTGATTCGGTGCCCCTAAACCGGTATTGGTCAAACGTCAGTGACTTGAGACGGAGGCACCGGAGCGTGAAAGGGGCAGCCCTGGAGTCCAAATGAGGGTCAGGATAGTCCCACAGGGAGGGCCTCGGGGGGGCCCCGGCTGCTCGACTGCTTCTCAGCCTCTGCACAGGCACGTACTTGGTTATGCATACTTGGTTATGCATACGTCCTTCCTGCGTACTAGGTAACAAGTCCTTTGTTGTCACCCTGGGGCCTCATGTGCACATTGGCCCAAAGGCCTGTCCTCATCTAAAAGCACACCAGTAACCCCCAGGACAGTTACAGCCTTTCCTGAGGTGAAAGCGTTCCTGTTGCTCCCCACTCCCCACCTCTCCAGCTTTGCTTTGGAACAGGCTGTTGACCCCCTCCCCCCCTCAACGGTTCGGTGGGGTCACTGGGACTCCAGCACGCCCAGCACCACTGTCCCCCTCTGCCGTCGTCCTGGTGCAGGTGCGAGGCTGCACTGCCTGCTGCACACGCGTGCGCCCAGACCCCAGGTCCCGGCTCCCTCCCTCACTGTCATTCCTGTGGCAAAAACAAACCAAGAAAAGCAGCAGCTTTCTGTGCCGAGGCAAACCACCCATGCACAAATTGGAAGAGACGGAGTTTCATCCAACTTATCAGGATAAAAAGCTGAAAGAAACCTGGGAGACTGCCTAGGCCAAGCTCCCTCAATTGATAAAGGAACGGAACCCAAGAGAGGAAGTGACTTACCTGAGGTTATAGAGCAAAACGGACAGACACAGGCAAGAACCTTGTCACCAGCTTAAAACCGACCGCTAGGTGCCCACCGTACAGGGAGGAATCGGCTATCCTCGCCCACCTGAGCGCCCTCTGGGCTGCTGCACGCAGCTACGGGGCCACCATGGGGCCAGCGGTCAGGCCTGGGACAAAGCTACACGGGAAACAGGACCGACCCGCCGCTTTCCTATCCCGCTCTCATCGCTGATGCGGCCGGCCAGGCTGGAAGTGACCTGTGACACCCCTCATTTAAGAGGCGCTGGTCTTGTTCTAGAACACGGGGCAGGGGCCCTACACCGCCATCAAGGGCGGTCTGTCAGGCACTTGGTGGCATGAAGCCACAGCCCCAGTGCTGCCCTCCAGATGGCACGGCCGCTGCCTCAAACACACCGGCTGCTCTCAGGTACCCCTTAATCACGTTATCTGTAGCTCATCCAGCGGGTGACCCCGCCTCCGGTCCCTTGTTCTCCATTCGTTCCAGCTGGTCAATGCTCGCAGCTGGGGGCGTGGTCTGAGGAGAGGAGGCCACCTGCACACAGGACCCTCCGTGGGCTGGTCAGAAACCTGACTCCACCTTGTCTCTCCTCAGCAAGCTTGACACCCGCAGTTTCCGTGTTTCATCAGCCGCTCCCACCCCTTTCCACACTTGCCAAACCCACTTGTAGTTGCTCCCATCAACCTCTATGCACCCTCCCCTAGAGACCCTCACCCGCACAGTTGGGTAGACCGACCGACCGGTAGCCCTTCTGTTCGCTCGGTCATAACACGGCACTTCCTGTGTGGCAGACGCAACACCAAGTGTGGGGAGGCACGGAGTAGACCGCTCCCATCCTCAAGCTTCCAATGTAGTAGGAAGGCTGCCACGCCCTCCCCATGATGGGAAAAGCAGCCCGGGGGGGGGGGGAGGGGGGGGAGGCTGCACCAAGGTCAAGTCTGGGGAGCACAGAACAGGGCAATTTGGCAGAGGGGGCTTCTCAGAAAAGGTGACTTTGGAGCCAGGCCTTGAAGGGTGAACAGGATTTCCTGACAAATGAAACTAACAGGGCCAATCAGGAAGTGACTGCAAAAGCCAAGTGAGAAGAGGGGAGGTCTCATAATGGAGGGGGAACGGATCTGAGACAAGCTCAACTTAGTGACCAATGAGCTACGGGGACAGAGGAGCAGCAAGGTGTTTCCAAGGAGGTGGCCTGTGCCTGTTAACTGAAGAAGAGAGCCCAAGTATGTCCAGGAAGAGCTGGACTCCAGGCACTCCCGCGTGACCCTACCACCGGCTGGCAGGGTGACCCCTAGACCTGTCACTTCCCCTCTCAGACCCCAATTTCCTCATGTGCAAAAACAAGGAAGTTCCGCTAGATGCTTTGCAAAGCTCCTTCCAGCTGTTAACAGTCACTGGACATTAAAGACCCATGGACGCAGACCAGCCTTGGGCAGCTGATGTGGTGACCGGTCACAGTCTTCCCTCGGTACCAGGTCCTCCATAATCCGCTTTGCTACCCTGAAATGCAACTCCCCAAGGCCAAGGACAGTAGCTACCCTAAGAACTCCCAAAGGCCAATCAAGTATCTCACAGCCGCCGTGGTAACCGCCGCTGAAGAGGAAGGACACACTTTCTCACACACACCTGCTGGCCCCCCAGCTCGTCACCCCCAGACCACCGAGCTAACCAAGACGGCAAAATGCTCACAAGTGCCCCAAACGCGCCCCCTGGAGCCACCGAGCTCAACAACAAGGAATGGGTCTCCCGTCCCGCAGAAGGAAGAGGGCGAGAGAAGAAGGAAGAGGCGCAAGGATCTGCCCTGCCCTGACTTAAACCGAAACGACGGCAAGCGGAAAGGCAGCCAGGCAGCCGTGCCGCCACTGGCGGCAGGAGGGCAACACCAAGCCCCATCTGTCCCGAAGGGAGCGCAAGAACCCTGCAGCTACCAGAAGCGCGGACACACAGCGAAAGCCGGCCAAGTTCCTGCGCCCTTCAGATAATGGGCAACACTTGGTGAGGACCCGGGAGTTGGGTCTGCTGGTGACTCTCCTGAGAAATCGCCTAAGGAGTTGGTAAGGGCAGTTTCCAAACTGCTAACTGGAGGAATCCGGGGCTGCGGACCTTCGGAAGGCGGACTACCCTCTACTACACGACCCACGCTTGCAGATGGGGAATGAATTAATGCCAAAGTGGCCCGATTCATTTTCATAAACTAATGAATATGCAGAAGCCCCTGGAAGCAGTGGACTTCAGAGCTGATGGTAATTAGGCCCCTGTCCTACTTTCTAAAATTGTATTTCCCTGTTAAGGAGCCTGCTCCGGGCCTTGTGAGAATAAAGACAGTCCAAGGAGTTTAGAAGGTTCTGCTCAGGGCAACGGCCTCTCTAAAAACAGCCCTGCCCCTCAGCCTCACCTTCCCCGGCTGACTGCGGCCACAGCAGCTGTCTACGCCTGCAGGGAGCACCGCCAACCAGCCCGGCCTCGCTGGAGGCAACAGGTGCCAAGAGCCGGAATGCAAAGGGTCGCCATCGACCCACCAGCCTTTGAAAGTCAACTCGGTAGGGGCAGCCAGCTACAAGGTGCGGAGAAAACTGCACTCTGCCTCAAGGGAGGGGGAGGGGAGCACCCAGCCCGCACTGCTCTAACCACTTTCTCCCTTGGGCGCCAACTCCCAACCCCAGAGCACCCTCACAGGTGGGAGGTGGGGCCCAGACTCAAGGAGCTGGTATTGCCAGAGCCCTGGGAAAGGAGAGACCTGGAGAAATGGAGTCTGCTAGATGTGATGCCTGGGGGCAGAGCTAGAAAACAGCTCTCAGCCACCACCGACCCCAACGCATCCCCCCCCACCCCCCCACAGAGGAGAACTTCCTGAAAGACCACTGACAGGCATGTGGGTGTGCAGGGCGCGCAGTGAGACTGCTCTCCCCCCTCCCGGGGGGGGGGTGTCTTAGGCTCTCTCCCGCTCTCCCCCCCAGAACACAGCGCACACAGGCCCGCTGGCCTCAGGGAGAGTGCCCAGCCCCTCCTCCTGAGCAAGGCGAGGCGCCGTGAGCCAACGTCCCTTCCACAGGCAACGGCTCCGTGTGCAAACCAGGCCAAGGGGCCGCCACGGGCAAGAGGCTGCAGGAGGCTGCGGCCCAGTCCGAGACCAGGCAAGGACGCCAGGCAAGGGGCGCGCACCGCAGCTTTGTGTGTCCCGAGGAATCCCGTTCCTCCCAATTAACAGCGCCCTGGGATTGGGGGAGATATGAACGGGGGCACGGCCACCTCGGCCTCACAGAAAGAGGAGAGGTAAGGGTCCACCTAGCCCACCATGGGGTCACTGGAATTCACCTCCTACACCGGAGGGCCCCCGATCCAAAAAAGAAGCAATTTGGAGCAAACACCGCAGAACTAAATGGCAAAAGGGGGAGCAGCAGCAACGCCGGCCTATCTGTGGGTGCACAAACCCTGAGACGGTCACCCAGCGGGGCACACAACCTCCCAGGTCGGAATCAGGGGCTCAACTCTGCCCCTAATCCATCATCTAGAAGCTGTCATTTCTCCCGAAAAAGCATCAAAGAGGAAGAAGAGCTGAGCAGGCGCAGGAGGGAAGAAGGGGGTGGGACTTTGCCTGCGCCAAAGGGACGCATTCGCCAGCCCGCCCGCCCGGCGGGGTAACGGTGTCTGTCTCGAGTCAACGCCGGCGACGCCCCCGCCCCCTCACCAACCGGACTGGATTTCTGTCGGATAATGAAAAGCACCCCTCAAACGCGGGGGGGGGGGGGGGGGGGGCAGAGGAAGAACGGGGAGAGAGCAGGAAAAGGCACAGAAGCCGGGCCGACCAAAGGGTCTCGGAAGAGAGAGAGCAGATCAGTGCGGAGGGAGAGGGAGGAACGGGAGGGAGAGGAGGCAGGAGGGAAGGGGAAGAGAAAGGAGGGGAGGGAGGGCGGAGAGGAGGGAGGGGAGGAGGGAAAGAGGGGGAGGAGGGGAGGGAGGGAAGACGAGGGAGAGGGAGGAGATGGAGGGAGGGAGGGAAAGATCCCAGGACCCAGCGGGCTTTGCACTCACCCGTGTTGTACACGTGCAGTTCGTCCACTATCCCCTCGTTGCCGCCGCCAAACACCACGATGAGTTCCTTGATGGCCACGGCTCGGTGGCCGTGGCGGGGCCGGGGCACCGGACCCGACCAGCCCACCACTCGCTTCCAGCGGGGCTGCAGGAGCACCGCTGGAGAGTTGGCGGGCGACACGGCCGAAGCCATAGTTACGGGAAAGGCCGCGGTGGGGGAAAAGTCACCAAGCGGGAAGGGAGCCCCCCAATTCCTCTCACACACACCCCCTTTCGTCTAAGGTAGCTCTCACGGAGAAGCGGTTCCTCACACAGCGGTGGACGGTTCCATGGAGGCCGCCATCTTAACTACCCTCCTTCCCTTCGGCTCTTCCCCTTCTTCTAGCTCACCCCGTCTCTTCAAGAGCCTCCCGAAACTTTCGAGCGCCTAGCCCCGAGAAGCCGGAGGCCGCCGAGTCCCGCCGCCCTGACAACTCGCTCGGGCGCTCCCGCTTACAAGCTCGGGCGGGAGGCCCTGGGAGCCGCCATCTTGAGCCGTCCCTCTCTCCTCCCTTCCTCAGTCGTAGCCCTCCCCCGCCGGAAATGGCGGAGCCCCGGCCCGGTTCCCACACCCCCCAAGTCCCCTGCACTGGCCGGCTTCCGGGGCGGGTGGAAAGGAGCCACAAGCGCCGCGGTTGTCCCAGCCCCGCCGGCGCTCACACCACAATTGTGGGAGCCGCCATCTTGAGACCGTCCCGCTTCCCCGCCCAGCGCTTAGTGCAGCCGCCGCTCCCGAAACAGCCTCGACACTCGTGAAGGACAAAGGCGCGCCGGAGGCCAGGAGGCTGGTCGGAGACTCGCGCCGTACAGCTTGTGAGGTCTCGAACCTCTCCCCTGAGTCCTCCTCTGCTGCTCAGGCTGCGCCTGCCGCCCTGGGAGCCGCCATCTTGAGACTAACTCCCCCTTCCCCCCTATTCTCTTCCTCCTGGGTCAGTTCTTCCACTGCAAACCAAACGCAAGGCAGCGTCCGATCCTCGCTTCCCTCTTTATGACTCCTTCCCACAGGAGCCGCTCCAAAGAGCCAGAGTTAGGCCCCGGAGTGGCAACTGTACGGCAGGAGGAGCGGTAACGGCAGGGCGCTCATGCCTCCTCCCTGGGAGCCGCCATCTTGTGTGAAGAAGTAACAACTAAACATGGCGGCAACGGCGGTCGGGCGAGGGGGCGGAGTCGGGCTACGTCACTGTTTCCCCACCCCCCGCCCTCGCACGGCTTCTCAGAGCCAAGGCCTCTTAAAGGACCCCCGTGCTGCCCCGGGGCGAGGGCCCAGGTCCACCGCGCGCCTAGCTAGGGCTCAGGCCGCTCTCGG